TGTATATGGTTTCTTTTTTAAAACTTCTGGTGCAATATATGGTAGTACTCCACATATATCATTTTTGTTTGATGATGATGTTTGACTAGCTGGGCATGATAATCCTAAATCTGCAATATATGACCACATATTTTCTCCAAATTGAAGAATATTACCACTATGAAGATCATGATGAATAATTTCTTTTTCATGAATATCTTTTAAACCTTCAATAATTTGTTTAAGAATTCTAATTTTGTATTCCCATTTTAAGTATTTAAAATTTTTAGTTAAATAATTTTGGAGACTTCCATCTTTTATATAATCCATTACAAATGTATATTCTTTTGTAATTGGATCTTGTGTTAATCCATAAATATGAATTATTTCTCCATTATCATGAAACTTCACATAATTTTTGAACTAAAATAATAAATAAAATATTTAATTACAACAATAATAATTGAAAAAATCTGAAAATAAATAGAAAAACAAAATAATTTACCTCATTAAGAAATTCATCAGAAATATTCTGTGAATTATGTAGTTTTTTTAATGCCACAGTCCGATCATAACTAGTTCTTTCATTATTTTTAAAATTTATACTTCTCTCACCATTTAACCAAGTAGCTTTGGATATAGTTGCAAACCCACCTTCACCTATCTTTCAATATTTGTTAAATAATTATAAGGAATCCATTGAAGGTAATAATTATTATTATACTTAGTTGCTTTAAGTTGTGTACTTTTAATCAACTCATCTAATATTCCATTGCCACTAGTCCATCCTTCAGTTAACAACTTTGGATTGCATGATTGACACCATGAATAATCAGCATTATATCTTTTGCATGTTGGACATTCCCCATATTATTCTTTTCTTTTAAAATATTCATCATTTTGAAAACTTCCATCTTCCATGTAGTGCATTACTGAGATATATTCTTTTGTAATTGGATCTTGTGTTAACCCATAAATATATACTTTATCATAAAACTTTGTATAATTTTCAAGCTAAAATAACAAAAATATTTAATTATAACAATGATAATCAATGATATTTTTGTATTAATATAATAATTTACCTCATTAAGAAATTCATCAGAAATAATTTGTGAATTATGTAGTTTTTTTAATGTCACAGGCATATCCTTGCTAGTTTTTTTATTATAATAATTTATACTTTTATAACCATTTAACCAAGTAGCTTTGGATATATTTGCAAACCCACCTTCACCTATCTTTTCAATATTTGTTAAATCATTATAAGGAATCCATTGAAGATGATTACTATAATGATACTTAGTTGCTTTAAGTTGTGTACTTTTAATCAATTCATCTAATGTTTCATTGCCACTAGTCCATCCTTCAGTTAACAACTTTGGATTACATGATTGACACCATGAATAATAAATATTATATCTATTACAGGTTGGGCATTCTCCATAAATTTCATCCCTTTTCTTTGAATATTGATCATCATAATCTTGAAAACTTCCATTTTCCATGTATTCCATTACAAAGATATATTCTTTTGTAGCTGGATCTTGTGTTAATCCATGAATTCTATTTATAAATGATTCATTATAAAATGTGACATAATTCCTAAACTATAAAAAAAAATATAGAATTTCAGAATAATATTTAATGAATCAGAAAATAAACAAAAAAATAAAATAATTTACCTCATTAAAAAATTCATCTGAAATATTCTGTGAATCATGTAGTTTTTTTAATACCACAGTCCTATCTTTAATAGTTCTTTTATTTCCATCATCGGTATTTTTCACACCATTTAGCCAAGTAGCTTTGGATATAGTTGCATACCCACCTTTTCCTATCTTTTTAACATTTGTTAAATCATTATAAGGAATCCATTGAAGATAATAATAGCTATTATATCTTGTTTCTTTAAGCTGTGTGCTTTTAATCAACTCATCTAATGTTTCATTGCCACTAGTCCATCATTCAGTTAATAGCTTTGGATCACATGATTGACACCATGAATTATTAGTATTATATCTATTGCAGGTTGGGCATTCCCCATACCATTCATATCTTTCATCAAAATATTTATCATTTTCATCAGTAGAAGTATCATCATGATGTTTATTTCCATCCAAAGTGTTTTCCATACTTTTTTTTTTCAGCCATAACAATTCAGCATTGACACCCTAAAGTCGTAAAACTGTAACAAATATTGCAAGCGTGTGTGATCTGAGTTATTGGAGTCACCAAATATGGAAAACTGATTAAAATCGCTACTTACAACTATAATGCTTGGTTAGGGCTTCTATTCGAATAAGGATTTATTCGATTATTTGTTTTACTTGCTATGAATTTGAGTGTTTGGATTACATTGAATGTTAATTCGAATAAAATGAATAACGAATAATTCGATGATTCGATGATTCAAATAAACCGAATGAACGAATAATTTGATGATTCAGTGATTCAAATAAAACGAATGAACGAATAATTCGAATAAAATGAATAGTTCGAATAAAGCGAATAAACGAATAATTTGAATAATTCGAAATAAAGCGAATAATTCGAATAAAACGAATAATTCGAAATAAAGCGAATAATTCGAGTAAAACTAATAATTCAAATAAACGAATAAACGAATATTTCAAAATAAAATAAAATGAATGATAACAATTCGAAATAAAATGAATGATAACAATTCGAATAATAATAAACTAATGATAACAATTTGGATAAATAAAAAAACATTACATTTAATGGTATTACGTCATTATTCGGTGTTGTTGATGTTGAAATATCTATTCCAAACAAACGTGGATTTTGGATAAATTTCTGATAACTCTACAATCCATTTCCAGAGCTTATGATACACAAACAAATATGGTTTTATTAATTAGGAAGATTATAATTTTTATGTGGTCGAATCAAAAATAATAATAAACAGTAAATAAACTCGCAATCTAAAACTCTCACACCGTCAACTGGCGCAGAAACATTATTTGATCATGTAAACTATAATTTTTATTTTCAAATATCATTAACAATATTTTCATCCAAAGTTATTATATTAATCCTTTTACTATCAATTAAGCTACGAGTAACTTGATAAATATTTAATGGTTTTATATAATAATTTTTTTCAATGCAATGCTCATTAATATTATTTTCATTATCATTGTCGTAGATATTGTCTGAATGACTAAAAACTTTGACTTCTTTAAAATTTAAACGTTTCGATAATAAATCATTGTAAAATTTCTTTTTTTGGATGCTTTTTGACAGAACAATTTACCACCTTATTGTAATAATGTTTAGATAAGTAAGTCATCTTTTATTGATGATTAATT